GCTGCTTCATGTTGTTGTTTGGTCTCTGGTTTCTGATTGGTCGCTTGCAGCTCAGCATCGCAGCTCATTGGTGCAGCCGCTTTGTGTAAAATGTGCTCTGGCTTCTGGTTTTCAGTCCAGCTGCACGCGGAAGGCGCTGATTTCCATTGGCCGCAACCGGGTGGTGCGTGGCAGCTGCTGCTGCCAGGCAGATTCGGGCTGGTCGTGCAGCAGCGTGAGAGTCGAGCGACGAACAGAACGAAAGTGAAGAGGAGAGAAAAGTTCATCCAGGTTCACCTGAAAACACAGAAACAGTTCAGACTGCTGGAAACGAAACACTTTGATTAAAAAGAAAATGAAATTAAAATTAAATATCGTTTAATGTCAAACAAGAGTGAACAAAAAGTAAATAAAAAACTGAAGTGTGTGTGTGTGTGTGTGTGTGTGAGAGTGAGTGCACCTCCTCGTGTGTGCTCCACGTGCACGGCGGCGGTGGCTTGGGGGCGGAGCTACAGTCGAAGCCCTTCCTGTGGAGGAGGAGTGCCGCATCGTGTGACGGACTCTCAGCTTCCTGTTTACTCACACAAACAGGTTTCACTAGAAATCGCTCAGAACTTTGATCAGACTTTATTTTGAAGATTTCACTCAGTTCTTTACTGAATCAGCACATTTTAAAGTCTTTATGGCTGAGTCATCGCTTCGTCTAGAAAATGGTAAATGCACTGACACAGCGCTTTCATCCAAAGCGCCTCACAGTGTTTCACCCGTTCACACTCATTCACACACCGACGGCCACAGAGCTGCCATCAGGAGCAGCTTCAGGTTCAGGGTTGGGCCCAGAGACACTGGGACTGTGGAGGGGATGGAACCGCCAACCTTACGATCAGAGGACAAGCTGCTACCGGCTGAGCCACAGCCGCCCACGCAAACATGTTGATTGATGCTGAACATGCATAAAAAAGGAGATCGATAACTAAAGTACATGTACAGGTGTATAGGTCACACAGGTAGCTATTAGCTTCTCCTTTTTAATGGTGCAGATGTTTCAGAGTGGTTCAGGTGTCTCCAGGTGTAGCTGGACTCTTCTCATCTGTGATTCCCTGGTGGTGGAATGAGTTACCAAACCCTGTTCCATCTGCTGAGTCTTTCAGAACAGACTAGAGACCTGTTCATGGTTCATGGAGTCTGTTACTACGGTAACTGAGCAGGATAGGTTCATGGAGTCTGTTACTACGGTAACTGAGCAGGATAGGTTCATAG